AATTTAATTCAAATGCAGAATTTTATATTTAAAGTTTAGTGGGGTTTAGGACATTTTTTTAGATTTTGCTAAATATTTTGGAAATTTTGTTCCGGACACTTATATATATATTTATATTAGCATAAATTAAATAAAATGTACTAAAATTTAGTACAAATTGTTATATATACTCCAATACTGAAATTTTGAGTATATTTAGTCGAAACGCGCATTTGTATATTCTCCTAACTAGTGATATAAGAATTTTGGACATTTTTTTAGATTTCTGTTAATAACTTGGAAATTTTGTTTCGGACATTTATATATTAGGTTGTCAAATATCTCCCTTCCGCTTTTTTGCTCTTGGTTTATAATACAAAAAGGCGGAAGGGAGATATTTGACAACCTATTATATTTATATTAGCATAAACCAGATAAAATGTACTAAAATTTAGTATAAATTGTTACATATACTTCAATACTGAAATTTTGAGTAAATTGAGTCTAAATGCGCTCTTGTACTTGTAATTCTCCTAATTATATATAATTGGCAATATGAGGATTTAGGACATTTTTTAGATTCAGTTAAATATTTTCGAAATTTTATTCCGGACATATTTATTTATTTACATTAGTAAAAAGTAGATAAAATTTATCAAAATTCAGTATAAATTGTTATATATGCTTGCATATTGAAATTTTGAGTAAATTTAATTGAAACTCGGAATTATATATTCTGATAGTGCTCTGGGATTCAGGACATTTTTTTAGATTTTGCTAAATATTTTCGAAATTTTCTTCTGGACATATTTATTTATTTACATTACTAAAAACTAGATATAATTTACTAAAAGATAGTACAAATTGTTATATATATATATTCTAATATCAAAATTTGAGTAAATTTAGTCAAAACATGTATTTGTATATTCTCCTAACTAGCGATATAAGAATTTTGACCATTTTTTTGGATTTCTGGAAATAACTTAAAAATTTTTGTTTCAGTTCAGTTTATTCACATTAGTAAAAACTATTATTATAGATAAATTTAGCCAGCTAATGTTATAAGATTATTGGACATTTTTTCAAATATTTTGGAAATTTTGTTCCGGACATGTTAATTTATTTGCATTAATGAAAAGTAGATAAAACTTTACTATAGTTTAGTACAAATCATTATATATACTTACATATTAAAATTTTGAATAAATTTAATCAAAACATCAACATGTATATTCAGCCTGTTAGTATTATAAAACTTGAGAATATTTTTTCAGATTTTTTCAAATAACTTAAAAAATTTAATCCGGGCATGGTAATTTATTTACATCATTAAAAAGTAAATAAAATTTACTAAAATTTAGTATAAAATATTATATATACTTACATACAAAAAATTTAATAAATTTAGATGAATTAGTTTTTATAACATACCACACACAGTACAAAATTTATGTCTTTTAGTTAATTTA